TTGGGAGTATACCCCTAGCCAAGACTCATGCTATTACTGGAAGGAAATGATCAAGGCCAGAGAGGTATTTAGAAGCATGCCTAACTAGAGACAGTATAGCATAAGTGAGGGGTACGAATGGCTACAGGGAGAAGGTAATATCCCCGGATGGAAGGATTATGTCTGGAACAAACTTACCCCCCCCCCCCTCCCAAATTTCAAATTTTCAATTCACCACATGGCTACTGATGAGAGGGAGGTTACAAACAAAAGCAAGAGTAGGGAAACACATTTACATGATTACTGATTGTGAACTTTGTGGGTAAGCTGAAGAGACTGACATCCATCTTTTCTGGGAATGTCAAGTGGCGCAGGGGATCACTAACACATACTTCAATAACCACAACATAAAAGAGAAAGTGATGAAGATACAAGATCTGGAAAGGATTATTCAGAAGGATGGGAGAAAGAACAAAATGAAGGTCTTAGCAATATGGGCTTGTTGTATATACAACATATGGAGGATGAGGAATAGGAAGCTGCATAAGGATAAGTGCACCATGGAGGAGGCCATACAGCATGCACTTTACTACATAAGTAGTTTTGTTTTGTACAGAAAGGGGTAAATTAAAGGGTGTTTTTGTATTGATGTATTGAAACATTTTGATGGCTAATGAAGTTGAGTTTTCTATGCAAAAAAAAGGGAGGCAAATGGTGAAGAAGAAAGAGAAAGTAATGGTGAAGTAGATCTAGATCACAATGATAGAGGAGATCTAGATGGCAAAGTTAAAGACAACAAAAAAAGACATGTCTCCGACGGCATGTAAGGTGAAGCAGTAAATTTTCTAGAACTATAAAATCTAGATGGCAAGGATGAAGGAGCTCTAGATCGCAATGGTGGAGGAGATCTAGATCCTGAGCGCAAATCTTGAGACCATAGACCGAATGTTGGCATCAAAAGATCTCGATTTCGGTAAGAAATAGGAAGGGGACAAGGACAAATTAAATATAAGAGTAAAATATATAGGTCATAAAAATATAAATAAGAGTCTTAAGTTTTTAAAACATAAACAGGTGTTATTTTTTAATAAAGTGACAAATTTGTCCTTATTCAATATTAACACTATCACATTATTGTACTCTACTAATACACTGCCACAATCATTCGTCGTTGCACTACCACCCTCCACCGCAACATTGTCACCTTCTGCCGCCACACTATCACTCTCTTCCACCACACTGTCACCACCACTCCCGCCACATTACCACCATATGCCGCCACACTGCTATTCTCCGCCACTACACTACAATCACTGCCACCACACTACCAACTTTGTCACCACACTACCAACTTCGAAATCACACAGTCAACTCTGTCACCACATTGTATCCTCTCTCATTGTCACATTGCCTACTCTGCATCGCCACACTGCCAACTCCACCACCCTCTTATGCTGGATCAATTAAGGGAAATAGAAAACATAAACACCAAAAAATATCTTAGAACAAACGTGATTTCTTTGAACATTGGCTTAAAAACCTTGGAGTAAATTGAATAAATTCAATAAATGGACCCTAGTTACACGTGTTTTTCATATTTAATTCCTAATTCTAAAATATTACATCAATGGTCCTCAAATTTTGAACATTATTCTATAAATAGACATTTAGGTCTAATATGACAGAATAGTTCTTGAGGATCATTTATGTGATATCATAGAATTAGGGACTAAGGCTCTGTTATTTTTGCTTGAAATTCTAAAGTTGAATGTTGGAAAAAGTTGAAAGAAACTAGATGGAGTTGGAATAAAATTGGAAGAAGTTGGAAAGTGTTAGAAAAAATAAAGTGCTAAGAAAATTACGAATTAAATTATCACTCAAATAAATACGTAAAAAAACTAATTTTAGATATAAAAAAGAATTTCATTGTCCATATTTGAAGTGTTATGTTAGAAATTTAGATATATAACGTTATTGTTTAGTCATCATATTTAAATATATTTTTTAAGTCATTGTTGGAAGAAACTATAAGAAGTGGGAAGAAACGGGAAGGAGTTATAAAGTTGGTAGTAAATTTTTCTAACTGAAAAGAAAAGAGTCTAAATATAGAAAATCACCTGCAATTAGGAACCATTTATGCAATTTACTGAAAAAATTATGTAGATGTCTGTATCATAATATCCTTATAATAATAATAATAATAATTGTATTATTGTTATTACTATTAATAATATCAATAAAAAATAAAAAAACTATAGTTTCACAATCTATATAAAGTCTTTATATTGTCTAAAATAAATCAGTTACAACTATAGTCAATAAAAAAATAAAAGTGTATATAAATTAATTTATTATATTTCTTTTTTTGTAATTTTATAATTTTTCATAATTATATTTCATTGAAACAACAATAACTTGTATTAGCTTTTAGTTTCTTAATTACTTTATTAAAAATATTTATAACTAAATTTATTTATTTTTTAATAAAAAAGTTGTTCACTGTTACACTTTATAAAAAAGTTAACAATGTACAAAATGTTTTCGTTAGGCAAGGTTGCCTTGAATTAATATTGTGATGTGATTTACTTTTTTTTGCTTGTTTAACAACAAATAAAAACTGGGACAATAACCCAGGAGTCATTATTGTAATCAAGAGTGACTTAAGTCTTAACATTAAGCCTTAGCCAACGGTAAGTTTTGTTCTTCCATACATCGTCTAGCACCAATGTTTGTTAGACTATGTGCTCACGCCTTAGATGGGGTGAATAAGGCATTGAAATAAGTTTTTAAAAAGTTTGATTTTGTCCCTTTTATTTGTGCCTAACGGTAGTTATTTAAAAATAATTGCGTTAAAATAAATTAAGAGTAATAAATGAAATTAGGAACGCTTTAAGGCTCTAGTACCTTAAGGCTCCACCTTGAAGATTTCCAATCCATTAGAACGTTTTAACCGTTTCAACACGATTGCTACAACGGAACAAGTTTTGGCAATCAAACCTTGCCAATAAGTTTACACTAGATCCACAATACTTCACCCCTTGAAGTATCTAATTAGCTTAAGAATTTTCCAATGGCTATCCCCAACCGTGCGCCGAAGATTTGCAGGATGTCTTCAACCGTCTCAACAAGGACTTCATAGATGTCCTTGACTGCTTGCATGGATTTCACCATGGTCATCACAAACCGTTCCTCAATGAAGATTTTGCAACGGATATCTTTGGCCACTTCAAATGAGGATTTTGCGGATGTTTTCGACCGATTACAAAGGATAAGAAATTAAATAACAATATGAATCATCACTGCCTCAAGAATATAAAATACAAAGGACGGATTAGTGTGATGATTTTTATACACTCAAGACTTTTGGATCGGTTAATACTAATAACCGATTCAAAAGGTTATTTGAATCGGTTATTATAAACAACCGATCCAAAAGCTAAGCGATACGCGAAATTTTTTTCATTTACATCGTTTGTTTTGCTTGCCGATGCAAATTGGGCGATTTATTTGGTCGTTTTTGTAGTAGTGATTATTGATAGATGATATGAGTGTATATCGTTTTTCCATAAAGTCCAATATGTGTTCAAAAATTTCTCTCAAGAATGGGTTTAATTAGCCTAATGTAAAAATCTGAGATTTAGAAACATAGTATGAACACTAAGTAAAAGAATGAAGAGATTTGAGCAAAGCTTGGTATTTTTAAATAATGAATTAGTTTTGGGTATTTATAGGGATGGATTATGAGTCTTTTCATTTAAAAAATAGCTATTAGAATTTATTAAATAGCTCCCAATATCATATTTGATATGATTAAACCGTTGGAGGTGAATAAGACCATAAACAGAAAAATATGTGCCACAGACGATCCAATACCTCAATTGTTTGGTATCACTATTCATCGTGTATAACTCTTAGAATCTAGCCAACGATAATATGCACGGTCGGCCGTCCTATGGTAACAATTCAATACCTCAACCATCTGGAGTCCACTGCGCAGATTTAAAAATATTTTTGGTAAATTGCTTATAACTTCTTAAATACTTATCAAATTTGATTGATTCAAAAATTGGTGGTCTCATATTGAAAAGAGCTACAACTTTTGTGTTTAGTATTTTCAAAATAATGAAAATATAATTTTCAAAAATAGTTACCAAATATCTGTATATTAAAAATAAATACCCAAGAAATATTTTTGTATGTGTGTGCAATATTGAGCTTGAGCTTAGAGATATCGTATTCAAATATCTTTAACATTAAATAACTCTAAGCTATAATATGCTAGTCCCATGTGAATGAACGCGTTGATGCAATCAAAATGTTTTAGTGGATTAGTCGACTAGTAGTCAGTCGAACGGATCTAAATCAGGTACAAACAATTTTTAACGAATGTTGGAATGAAACATCGTATTCGGGCTTGAACCCCATACATTGAGAGGCCTAGTTCCAACCCGATCTTTACACTATATTTGGTTGAAGAAATTCAAAAGAGAAAGAAAAGAAAATGAGATGAAAAACAATTTTTTTATTTGGTTAGAAAGGAAAAGAAAAAATGGAAGGAAAAGAAAATGAAAAGACGAAATATACTAATAAAAGGGAAAACAAAATTTCTCCCGTTTTGGTAAGAAAAATGAATGAAAATCATTTTTCCCATTCAAATTCCTTGAACCAAATATAGTGTTAATGATATTGCAGAGCATTTTGAGGTGATTTTTATTAAAGAAAAGATTAACATTGTATTTTATACGGAGTATTTGGTTCAAGGAATTTGGAAGGAAAAGAAATTATTTTTATCTCATTTTCCTTGCCACACGAGAAGAATTTGGTTTTCCGTCTTCTTAATATATTTTGCCTTTTTTATTTTTTCCTTCCACTTTTATTTTCCTTCTCTTACCAAACAAGAAAAATGGTTTTCTTTCTCATTTTGTTTTCTTTCCCTCTCAAATTCTTATTTGAACCAAACATAGTGTAAATCCATTACTGTTGGTTTCTACATTGTCACAGGGGTGGCATACCTATGTAGTTAGCACTATGACCGTTTACTCATCATCTAAGAGGAAGGCCAAAAATGCCTGTCGCCACAAATCATATATAAAGCTAACATTCAACTGTCATTGATTTATGATCTCTCTGTTAAGCCAATACTTACATATACACCAACTGGCCAAATGTAATTCAGAAACAGGTTCAATCCTTTTCTTTGTTGGAAGGAGACGATATTAAATGGCGCAATGTGGTCGCTTCGATCACAGTGGGGCTTGGATCTCTGGTCCGCATTGAGCTTGACTGCCTCAACCCCAAATTCCTCTCTGCTGCACCAGTTCGAACAACATTTCCCCAGGGTCGTGGCAGGCAACGTAATATGCGCTTTGAAGTGACCAGCAGCATCACACCAACAATAATAAAGAGCCTGTGCATGATGAAAATGGGTCTAAACCTCAATTTCGATTTTGTGACAGAATTGACATCAAATTATGATGATAGCTGTAAGCAATATACATGGATAATGGATAATGGGCACGGCATTTATACAAATGGAAAAGAAAATTTAGCCGTTCTAGATTTCTAGAGTGTAGCTTCCTTCCTAATAAGCAACTGGGAACAAGCTCTAAGAAGCAAACTTCATGTGTGAATGCATAAAAACCTAGGAATTTCATGTTCAAAATACTGCCTAAATTTGTTATAAGACATAAACTTAAGTGTAAAAATACCATCCAAGGAGAAGAAGAAGACGCGCTTTCGGTGCTGAGGGTAACTGTTCACCCAATGCAAGCATACCGGCAACTACTCCACTAACTATTGATGCAACAGCAGCACATGTAGAAACTACAATTGCTCTCCCGTGCTTCAAGCCACGTGTCTGATTAGAAGAAGAAAGAAAGTGTAACAAAATGCAAATGGTTCTACTAAGGTATGGCATCAAAATAGAAGTGCATGAGAAATTGCCCATGAACTGCAAAACTGGCACGTAGAGGAATTCTATACAAGGAAGGGAGACAATGTCAGGTTTTATGGAGTAACAGCATTTATTAATTTTAAAAAATTGAATCTTCAACGCACCTGATAAATGAATCCCGAAGCACTGCAGCAAGTGCTGACAGAGATGCAAATGGGCAGGAGCAGCTTTGAGAAGCCTTGATCCATGAATAAAAAGCCAAGCTTTGATATAACAGATGCCATCCTACATTTGATAGGTACAAAGGAAACCACACATGTGCAAATAAATTTCCAACGACAATAGCAAAACCTGGTAGAATCCAAATTCCATTGACGACTGGGGGTCAAGATGTACAGAGCCTTACCCCAGGAAAAAAATAGAACTAGACCCTTTTTACATTACTGTGTTTACTACCCAAAACTTCATAGAAAGTAAGAAACAAATAGAGTTTAGCCCATTATTTACCCGAAGCTAAATCGTTTCATTAATAATACTAATAACTTCAATGGCAACGGCTATGGTACAACTAAGTATGAGAGAAGATAACATTTTACTGATTCAAGAAAAACGATATGAAAGACTATGTAACTATGTTACATATCTGTGTTATACTGTGTTCTCTTCCATATTTTTGTGCAGGTGGAGCCGGGGGTCTCTTGGAAACAGCCTCCCTACTTCCGAGTAGGGGCAAGGTCTGCGTACACACACCCTCCCCAGACCCTACTGATGTGGGATTCAACTGGGTTGTTGTTGTTGTTGTTGTTGTTGTAACTATGTTACATAGCCGGTCCCAAGCCCGGATGAAAGAAGAGGGTTGTGTTAGGTCTTGGCAACCAATGTAAAACTTTGTTGGATCTTCATGACATGGATTCATGACAAGAAAAACTACATGATGGTCATAGACTATATGCATAATGCGAGCTTTTCCTATGCCTATAAGTACTTAAAATAACACTATAGAGTAGCAACTAGCAAGTTTCATAAATGTACAACTTTATAATTTTTTTAGAATCTGTTCATACATACTTCCCCAACCCGTTGAAGCGCATAGAGTCAACAGTTCAACACTCCGGATGGGGTTTGAACCTGGGTGAGCTTCCCATCTAGAATCCTTGGAAGCGGTTCTCTGCTCAAGCCAAGGTGAAGCTCCAACTTTTAAATTTTAGTAAGGTAAAATTATTGGAAGTCATTAAATATAGCGATTTTTACAACTTTATTTGGTGGTTTGATTAAATTTAACATATTCAACCTATCTGTGACATTTTTTTTATACAAATACATAAAATATGATGAAAATTCACTTTTTTTGTTCAAGTAGGACTCTTTAGGCAAAAATAAGTTTACACAGGCAGCACAACATTTCAATGGATAGTAGTATAGTACCCCCTTCGTCCCTTTAAAGCTTAATCTACTCCTCAGTCTCAAATTATCAAAATAAACTGCAAACCTTTATTCCTTTGGGGTGAACATTTTAGTCTAAATATTGAATTTAACCATTTTTTTATTCCATCACATGAGAACATTAACAGAAGAAATAAAGAGTACCAGAACCAAGGTAAAAATTTAACGGCCCCTTCTTTTGACAGCAAGTGTTGTCATATTATGACAACACATTTGGGGCACCTACAGTGCTTCGTTTGTAAAATTGATGGTTCCTATCATCCTAAACCTTGGGGTTTAGAAAGGAGGAATCGTCAATTTTACAAGCGGTGCTTGTTGTTATAATATGACAACAGAATCTGTTCTCAAAACAACGAGAGAAAAATCTAAAATGTACATAAATTACCCAAACAGTATGCCAGATCCCAAACCATAAATTATTTCTTCAACTACTTCATATTGCATCTGCATAGTAGTAAAATGTCAATCAAGTACACCGCAGAAAATTCAAAGAGCTCATAGTATGGATGGAAAAGAAAAACATTACCAACTCTTGTTCTCTTCTCTGACGCTTATATATGCGAAGGCAGCCATTAAGGAGCACCTAAATTTCAAATAAGACATTAGAGATCACAACTGCTCAATAGTCCATCACCAGACCCCACTGGTGGAATTACATTTGGTTTGTTGTTGTCTTGTTGATGATGTTGTTTTTCACAGAGGTTGGCCAATGGTTGAATGTGTGCGGTTATGACCTAGTAATTAATCAAGTACATTGACACAGCACTTAGTCCTATACTTTTACCTAATTTATTGAGGGTGGAGGTGGGGCCAGGGTGACTACAAAGAAATAATAGCACTTCAAAAGCCATGGATAAGTAGCATTTCTATTGAAATGAAAGTTTGTAGACATTGCAGAAAGAGTAAATTCAATTAAAAATCATACTTCTCAGTAAATATAGAGTAGGATACCTACAAACAAGATTGCAACAAAAAATGCCAGCCATGGTAAATGAAAAACTGAAATTGATGAAGCCTTTTGATCCTCCCCTCCAGCACCAACACCTGTATGTATGTACACATACGATGTAAATTCTCAATGAGATATTATGTCGCATGCACCGACTACAAATTGATGCCTTTTTTTCTTTCTTTAGTGATCAATACATCCTGTTGCAGAATAGAATACAAAGAAGGGAAAAACATACATTACCTATGGTGCCGATCCCAGCCAAGGCAATTCCCAACCAGTCAATAACATTCATAATCTCCATTAGATAAAAATGGGAGAAGACTGAGAGGATCGCAAGTCCACAGCCCGAAACAGGCTGAATGACAGAAACCTGAAATGAGAAAATGAGAACACCAGATATGGAAAGATGAATCAATATCCAATCAGCATGTAGATAGTGTTGTGAACTGATATGTATCTCATAACTTATCAGTGAAGGAAACTCAAAAGGAATCCAGTGTCAACGTAGAAAGAGATCGAGATGAAAGGTGATTACTTATTTGTGGAGATGTCAAATTTTTAAATAGTACTTTCTTCAGACTCCAATGCCAATGCATAAAGAGACTTCAAACTCCTATGCAATTCATTACTTATAGTTCCTGAAGGAATAGTATAAGGCATTGTTGAATGAAAGACAATTTTGAACTTTGGTTCTAGCAGTAGGGAGTTCTCTCACAAAAGCTTCTTATTCATCTATTCTCTATTCTACTTTCTACTTCAACATAGTGGAGAAAAATAAATCCCCTGTGACAAATCCACATCAATCGGCCAATGCCACCCCCAATTTGTGAATCGCGAGATCACCACAACCTCTTACAAGTTACAACAATCAAAGTATTGACAAGGAAAACTCTCCCTATCAAACGGCTAACTAAAGCCGAGTTGGAAGATCACTGTGTGTAGCACCTATATTACAATTGTGAAGAGAAGTGGAAATGTGGATGCGCGCAAGCGACTATTTTACATTGTGTGGATAGAGGACAAGATTGAGTTACTGCATGCCAATCCATCTCCAGAAATCTCATTGTATGGGATGACAACATTTCTCAGCCCACAAACTATGGAGGTGCTGTTACATGTGAATGATGTGCTAATTCGCGCATTAGTGGATAAAGGGAGTACCCAGAACTTTATTAATGCATCTATGGCGGAAAGGCTAGATCTTCCACCTGCTACATACTCCACCTTCCTGGTGGCAGTAGCTAATGGAGAACATATCACCAGTCCCGGCATATGTATTGCTTTGAAAAGGGGCATAGAGTTTCAGTACTTCACTCTATATTGTGCATCTAACTGGGTATGATCTGATCCAAGGAGTCCGCTGGTTGAAAACACAATATTGTGCGACTTTGATAAGCCACAACTTTACTTTAAATGAATGGTAAACAAGTGACATGTAAAGGGGATTTTCCCTTGTCGGCCTGACAAGCTATTTCACAGGACAGGCTGCAATTGGACACCGTCTGCTTTGATGATATTTCAATTTATAGCAAAACAAAGGTGGAGCATGTCTAACACATGCAAATAATTTTTGACGTGTTGTGCCACCATCCATTGTTTCTGAAACAATCTAAACGCACTTTTAGTGAGCAAATGGTGCGCTACTTGGGCCATGTAATCTCGAGCAGTGGGGATTAAGCAGACTCGGACAAAGTCAAAGCAGTTGCAAGGCTGTCCTTACTGTTTTGTTTGTGTTCCTGAGCTTTACTGGGGTCTACGACATTAAGGATCATGGCAACGTAGAAGCTCCTTTGACAACACTCTTTGTTACATGTGTTGATAACTGTTCACGTATGCCTCGTAAAAGTATGTATGGTGATAGCGCTAGAGAATATCTTTCCGTTTCTTGCTAGTCCTACATGTGTGGTCATGGCATCCTCCACCAAACTAAATGTGTGAATACTCCTCAAAATGGGGTAGCAGAATGCAAACCGACTTTTGCATGAAGCTGCATGGGTACTCTTGTTTCATAAAAGTGACTAAAGTCGTTTTGTGGGCCACCAGCCACAGTTTCATAGAATCTTCCCTGATAGACCACCTTTTCTTTCCCCACCAAAGATCTTTGAGTGTACATCAGTGCATGTCTTGTAAGGGATGTTTGTCCATGTGTCACTAAACTAGATCTGAAATCCTTAAAGTGCACTTTTTGGGGATGCTTGTCGGTCCAAAAAGGATATCATTGTTATTCTCCTAGTCTTGCTCGATACCTTATTTCAATCAAAGTGAGTTTTCATAAACATGTTCCCTATTCTTCACCTACTCAATCTTTAAATGAGGGGAAGGGTTCTGATGACATCTGATTATACACTGCCTCTAGTACTAAATATGTGCCCTCTATGTTGAGCCTCCCATTATTCACCTTTACTCTCACAGAAAAAAAAATCCTCACTTGCCCCTGAACCTATTCCTGCCACAATCATTTATCCATCCCCAACACCTGCCCCAGTCTCACACCCTGAGCCGAGCACTTTGTTGTTGGACCATGATCATGCCGATGGTCTACCCATCGCTTTGTGCAAAGATAAATGGTCTTGTACCTACCCTATTTCCAACTGTGTCTCGTATAAAAATTTGTCTTCTACCACTTGTGCACTCAACTCTTCTCTAGATTCATAATGATCTTCAGGAAGAGGTTTGTATGGAGCAACCTCGGGGTTTGTTGCTCATGGGGAGAATGGGAAGGTATGTCGGCTAGACAAGTCTTTGTACGATCTAAAACAAAGTCCTAGTTCATGATAAGGAAAGTTCAATCAAGTAATTGACCGGTTTGGAATGGTGAAAGGGCAATATGATCATTCTATTTTTTTGTGAATGGTATGATGGTGGAATCATCTTTGTTAAAGAGTGTCCCACATTGGAACTTGTAGAGGAAATAAATCGATATATAAGCTTTTGAGTTGAACTAAGTAATCGATTGGATTCAATCTTTTAATGTGGTTCAACTCAAGTATCTTGTTGCCCAATTAAAGTCCCTACCCCATTCATTCTAAATCCTATCATGGTATCAGAGCCAGTTTTAGCACACCTCGTTTGTTAAGGTGTTTGTCTAGACGTCCATTCCTAGCGACCTGTTTGTCTTTAGCCCAATTGTCCGTGTGGAATGTATATCCAATGGCATGTGGCATGTTTAACCCAATTGCTCGTCTGAAAATTCATACCCAGCGGCTCGTCGCCCTTTAGGTGTTGGCGCTAACAAAGGGGGGGGGTAGGAGTCCATTTGCAAGTGGTCGACCGGTTAGATTCAAAATGGTCCGATCGTCCACATGAGAGAGAGTGCTAAAGAGTGTCTCACATCGGAACTTGTAGAGGAAATAAAGCAGTATATAAGCTCTTGAGTTGAACTAAGTAATCGATTGGATTCAATCTTTTAATGTGGTTCAACTCAAGTGTCTTGTTGCCCAATCCAGTGATCCCTACCCCATTATAAATTCTATCGATTTTATTGGTTATTTATGTAGAATTGTAGATGACATATTTATTACACAAAGTGATCTTGCAGACATTTCATTACTCAAGACATTTGTCCGCAATGAGTTCCAGACAACGGATTTTGGATTACAGAAGTATTTTCTAGAAGTTGAGGTTTTGCGGAGCAAGAAAGGTCACCCTGATTTTGAGATAGGAAAGCTCGCGGCCAAACCTTGTAATACACATATGGTTCCTAATATGCAATTACCAAAAAACAAAATTATTCAGAGATCCGTAGAGATACAGGAAATTAGTGGGTAATTTGAACTACTAAGTTGTGACCCGCACGTAAATTGTTTATCTGGTTAGCATGCTAATTCAATTTATGGCATCCCAAACAATTGATCATTGGGTTGCAATGGAACATGTTCTATGATAGTTGAAGGGAACTCATGGTCGTGGTATCACTAGTATGGTCTATTCAAATCAAGGTCACATGAACGTTGAAAGTTATGTAGATGTTATGTGGAGTCTCCAGCTCCAGTTATTCTGTCTTTGTGGGCGGCAACTTCATTTCACACAAAGAAGCAGAATGTTTTCTCTTGTTCTAGTGTTGATTTTGAATAGAGTCATGGCACAAGCTGCATGTGAAATAATATGGATATATCACATCCTAAATGGAACTGGTTTCAAAGCTCCCATCCCTCCGAAACTATGGTGTAATAATCAAGTTGCTCTTCATATACAATCCAAACAAATGTTTCATGAAAGAACGAAGCATGGCGAAGTAGATTGTTACTTTGTTCGCGAGAAAATCTAGAAGGGATTGATTTCTACTAGTTTTGTGAAGACGAGATCAGTTCGCATATCTACTTACTAAAGTGCTAAATGGCACCTAAGTTGACAATTATGTAACAAGTTGGGCATGATAAATATCTATGCTCCAACGTGAGGGGGGTGTTATTAGTATTAATATTAGTATATAAGTTAAGTCTTGAGAATATGGTAGGCTTTAATATAGGGATTAATAGGGGTGATTTCTTTTTGTTATATTAGCACCCTTCTTATGTATATATTGCCTCTTGCATTATGTAATAATGGGAACATTAAGTAAACCACTTAATATCAATTACAGATTGGTAAGAGTTCTTATGAGAAGATCCACGAAACTAATCAAAAGTCCAACTATGCGCTTACAGGGGCAAGGGACAATGCTCGCAACATTAAGATAGCTCCAAACAAGTCCATTAGAAAACCAATTGCCCAAGCTTTGTTAAATGCATATGCTCTTATCACCTGCAAGCATGTTCACCGGGAGGCATAATGTCAAGAATATTGTTAGTGTACATTGGGAACAATTGTTGGAATAATAGATTAAATACTATATACTCAAATCTATAGCTTTGACACATATAAGGACATTTAAGCATTCATTCTTATTACTTTTGTACCAATGCATGTTGTTCAAACCACAATCATACACGATCATGATGCAATTAGGTTTATTCTTTATGAGAAAACTACTCTATAACTAAAAACCTACGAGCACAACTTGAATTGTCTCAAATTTATATTGCTCATGTGAAATGTGGGGAATAAAAATGGTTCAGAAGTTAGGGCAGTTTATTTTAATTGTAGAATGCACATAAATGTTAATCTGTTGTATAATTTGCAAATTAGGGCAGCTTATTTAGTTGGTTAATTTTATTGTTCACTTACAAATTTATGGCGTGTAATTCCTTAGAACATGAAAGGCTTATCTGGGACTATCCTTCAAAAATTAAAGGCTATTCACTGTCACCAGAAAATTGCTCAAAGCTAATAACAATTTATCACGAGGCTAAGCACATCAGAAGGTGCAAGTATGATTTCAAAAAATTATTAGTTTTGTAAATCAAATTGTTATACGTGATCTTTCTTATTTTTGTAAATAGAATGTGTGAAGTTGGAATGTTATCTACATAGTATTGTGGTAAATATCATGTCTCTAAGTCTAAGAGTTGTTAATGAGGGTGGAGATTTGAAAGAGACCCCTTCTGATGATGCAGCCTTTGAGTTGCTTGTTGCCTCATCCTTTGCGTACAGAACTGCACAAATAATAGCCATCTTGGATGAGGCAGCAACCAACTCAAAAGTTACATCATCAAAGGGTCTCTTTCAAATCTCCATCCCCATTAGCAGCTCTTAGGGACATGATATTTACCTCAGTACATGTGATTCCAACAACATACATTCAATTTACCAAAAAAAAAAAGATAAAACACATCGAAGTATCTAATCACTGGGTAAAAAAATACTCGTGATACTTTTAATTTAAAAAAAAACTACTTGCAACTCCTAATGTGGTTAACCTAGTGATAAATTTTGATTGGCTATGAGAACTGTTTTGATAAAAAGTGAATAGCATCCACATTTTGAAGGATATCCCCAGATATACCTTACATCTTCAAAACAATGACACGCCATATATCAATGAACAATATAATTGTAAAACTGTCTGTCGGCAGTCACGGGACATCTATTCATGAAGGTTGTACCAGCCTATTCCTCCCAATAAAGCCTTTCCTCTCTAACACCAGTGCGAATGAAAACAAAATGTATACCAAAGATAAATACCATGTACGGAGTATACGCTATGTTCGTAGCCAATTAGCCAAAATGCAAAGCATGTGCACAATCTCAATGCCAACTCATGTCTGACCACAAGATAAGTGCATCTAAGCACATAAAAATGCCCATACAAAACACCCATTTGATCATATCCAAGAAAGAACAGACTAGGAAAATGCAAGAATGGTTTGCATCACAAATGGAAGGCCGGATTCCATTAGAGTCAAAACCACAAGATTATTCAACAGAATTTAAACAAAGAGAGAGGGACGACGGACCTTGAGCTTGAAGGAGAGAGGGGGGAGAATAAGGGTGCCCTTCTTCTGGAGGACTTTGCCGATGTTGTTGCCAGCGGTGGCCGCTATGGTTAGGCAGATTGATTCCCACATCTTCCTCCCTGTCACTGCGGAGGTATTGGCCCTTCGGGTTATTGTTTTCAGGAGGATCCTAAGCTCCCAATGATGCTTTACGCCTTTACCCTTTTCTTGGGTGCCTCCCGGTAACCGCGGGTATGGACATTATCACATGTAGGGGTAATATAGGGGTGTTCAAAAATATCCGATCCGAAATATCCGTCCACGATCCGGGCCGATCCGATCCGAAAAATGGATATCCGATCCGATATTTTAGCTTGTGGATATTTTGGATCGGATATCCGAAAAAAATCGGATCGGATATGGATTAAATTTTTGGATTTTTTCGGATAATCGGATATTCGATTTTTTTTTTTGCTATATGTTTTTGGAATTTTATGGATATATATTATGACTATATGTTTAAATGTAATTTTATGTTGATTTTGGAAATCACCCATTTTGGACTTTTTGCATTAGCATTTTAGAATTTTTTGTTTTAATAGTGTTTTTTGCTTGTTTAGGCAAAATTACCAAAGTTACTCCCAAATTAAATTGGTATCATTTTTTTATTAGGCCATTACCAAGTGGTGGAATTTTTCTTTTAGTAAATCTATATTGAATTTGATATTTTGGGTTGATTTTGCTATTTTACCTTTTTTTTTATAAATTTTGGCTAAAAACTCAACTTTTCGGATAATCCAATGATCCGATCCGAAAAATCGGATATCCGAATTTCGGATATCCGAATATTTTCGGATCGGATATGGAATGAGTTTTGCATGATCCGAAATTTTCGGATATCCGAATTTTCGGATCGGATCAGATCGGATCGATCCGATTGAACACCCCTAATCACATGAGTATGAGCTACAGTACATCACAATTTCTATGTGACCCTATAAGTAGTAGAGGTGGCAATCGGGTCAACTGGATCGATTTCGGGTCGGATTTTTTCAGTTCAGATATCTTTCAGTTATATGTTATAATCGGTTCGGATTTGATTTGGTTCTATACATTTTTCGTTTCGGTTCGGTTTTGAGTCGGTTCAAATACGGTTCGGTTATAAATCGGTTCGGATAGATTTCGGTTTGGATACAATTTGAGTCGGATAGATTTCGGTTTCGGGTCTAATTCAGTTTGGATATATTTCGGTTTCGGATCATATATATTTTGGATATATATTATTTTTTAATTAAAAGTTAAGTATCCATGTTTCTTTTTATATATGTTTTATCACATTTTTCAATATATCATCAATTCAATACCTCATACTATTTTATATTTTTTTCTAAATATATTATCTCAACCTAAAGAATCTTCCTTTTTTGACTTTTTAGTCATATTTTACAAATTTGGACTACAAATTATGAAAACATATATATTTAATTATGATATAAATTTAATATAATTAAATTGATTTTAAAATTTAGTTTTGAAATATCAAATTTTTCTCACATCTATTAATATACTTATGTTTGTAAATGAAAAAATAAAAGATAAATTCAAATAGTGTTATGTTACATTTGAATATAATTTGGTAAAAACTGAGTAAAATTGGGTGAAATTAAGTGAATTTTATTCAATTGAATGCAAAATTTATAAATTATTGAGTGTATTTGGTTGAAAATAGATAAAATTAAATTTAATAGAGTCAAATATAATTAATTTTACACCTAAATGTAATGGTTTAGATCAAATTCAAAAATGATAACACTAAATACTGCTGCTAGAGAGTCTTTTCAAAATGCTAACACTAGCATCAAATTTATTGACTAATATTGAGTGAATTAGTGAGAAACTAATCAAATTAACTCTCAAATCAATAAAATTTACTATAATGGGATGAAATTAGGATAAAATGTAATTATTCCATACAATTCATCATATAATCCTTTCGTTCCAACAAGAATATCACACTTCACTATTTAAAAATTACATAAATTTTGTTTATTTGTGCGTTATCATTTATATGTATAACTTATCTTTAATTTGTATAACATATAATAAATATAAGGCATGAAAATTTGTTCTTTTTTTCAAGAAGATAATCCATTTTATGAGGGAATGAGCAAGTAATGTAATTAGTTCAAATGGTAAAATAAAAGTAAAAATTTAAAAATATAATATGCTTATTGAAAGGCAAACATAGTTCCGAATTTATCAATTTTATAATAAATATAAGGCATGAAAATTTGTACTTTTTTTCAAGAAGATAATCCATTTTATGAGGGAATGAGCAAGTAATGTAATTAGTTCAAATGGTAAAATAAAAGTAAAAATTTAAAAATATAATATGCTTATTGAAAGGCAAACATAGTTCCGAATTTATCAATTTTAGTTCTAATCGGGTTCGAATGTTATCGATTTTGGATCTAACCAGTTTTGGGTTTTATCAATTTCGGATCTAATCGGTTTCAGGTATAATCGGTTCGGATATTATCGGTTTCGGATTTAAATCGGATATGAATTATTTAGTTCGGTTTTGGTTCAATTCGGATTATTTTGAGTTTGCGGTTATAGATCGGATCTTCATTTTTCGGGTCATTTTGGTTTCGGTTTCAGATATTTTAGTTCGGGCAATCGGTTCCGGTTCTGTTTTGCCAGGTCTACCTATAAGAGAGATGTTCATCATCAGGTCGGGAGAAAACAACACAAAATCAATTTAGGTCCGGTTTTTCGTCCACCAATTTTGAGATTTCGGTCTTAGGTCTGTTGTGATTCCAAATCAAAATGACAAAATTGTTGAGGTCCAAATCGAGTGGATCGAAATGAAGTATTAATTTGTTAAATATGTACATTCGAATGATATAAACAAGCAATCCATCAAAATGTTTATAACTAAATAAAGTTTGTTTAAATTTATTTTTAATAAAATAATTATCTATTATACAAAATTTGATTAGAATTCTTAAGTAACAGCATAATCTCTAAATATTAGGGATCTCTTTTACATACTTCTTTGATATTGGCTCTTTTGGGTTATTATTTGCAAAAAAATATTATTGATTACCTTTAGTTTTATGATAAAAACTACCAAGTAGCTTCAATTTTTAAAATATACTCTCAGGTACCTTAAGTTAATATAAAACTTCCTAAAAGGGTATCATCATCACTACCATCTTCTTCCTCTTCCTCCTCCTCCTCCTCATTCTTATTCTTAACGACTAGAGATTGTGAGAGATTGATGAGGTAAATAATTTTTTCATGGGGGCATTAGTTTTATTTTTCTTAAAGTTAGAGTAGTAAAACAACTATTTTACAACAACAATAATAATAATAATAATAATAATAATAATAATAATAATAATAATAATAATAATAATAATAATAATAATAGAAGAAGAAGAAGATAAAAAGAAATAAGTGTGAGGGTGTGGGTCTATTATCTAGATCAGAATTGAAGAACAAGGAGGAGAAGAAGAAAGAACGAAGTAAAAATGGTGAAGAAGAAGAAGAAGATGATGATGTATTGATGATAACGAAGAAACTGGGGGAGGAATAAAAGTTTGAAGGAGGATGGGTGGAAATTCTCCTCTTAGTCCTTTTTGTCATGCCTTAAAACCCGGTCAACTAGAATTGATTAATTTAATTAATTAATTACTGACTCAGACCGGGATTAGGAAAAATAAAGTTTTCATACAAATTAGTTGATCACGCAATAATATTTGTCTTGACTCTTTTTTAATTCCCCAATTATTCATCTTCATTATATACATTCTTCCCCACCACTTCTTTCACCGTTTTTGCAATCCCCATCCTTAACCCCCACAACTCTCCCTCTCCCCTCTCTTTGTAATCATTAAAATTGATTAATTAATAAAATAAAATAAGTCAAACGAAGAATAATTGAAACATAAAAAAACAACCGTAAGCATAAAAAGCGAATCCTAATTTCAATTACGCCATTCATTCCAAAATGAATTATAATTTTTTTGCGACCTACCTTTCGATAACTTTTGTTTGTTTATTTCTATATTTTATTAATTATTCATATACCAATTTGTAAATAAATTAATTTTAAAAAATGTGGAGTTTTGCATTGTAAATAAGAAATTGTAATTCAATTTAGAGCGGAGGGAGTAATTTTTACATTATTTTATGAAAAAATATAATACATTATATTGGAATAAAAAATACAGTAAGATGTTTGTTAATAAAAAAGGTAAAAAAAATCTGGAAAAAAAGATGAAGGGAGAAGGTGGAGGGTTGGCGAGGTGGGGATGGGGTGGGGTGAGGGAGACTTTGAAGAAGAAGAAAGAGGGTGTTAGGGGTGAACCGGGTGTCTTATCAAGTTGTTATTTTTGGAGATGGAATTGTGGAATAATGAAGGGGAAATGGGCTGGATGAAAATATGGGAATGTGAAGGAGTTCTTTTTGGGTTTTGATATTATGAAGAAGAGTGGAAAATCAGGGATGAAGGATGGGTTTAGAAAGGATGGGATAAATTCCAAATAAGGAATAAGAGATAAACACACTCTTATCTTAATTTGGAGCCAAATTAATACTAAAGGATAAGCTCACCTCTAGATTAACTTGGGGTTGAATTCTAGTATTTAATTAAGATATGACACACTTAATCAAATATCTAGAACCTAAAACTCACACTTAAGATAACCACTCTTAAGATATAGAATTAGGAATTTGGCTAAAATAGCATCACACTATTTTATAAATACTCAAAGAGTAAAAGGGAGTTTTAATATTCAAAGTTGTGTTTACAATGGCAATAGGGCCTGA